TCCAATATAAATTTTCCTTGCTTTTGAGGGTAGTTGAGGATTTATATCAGTGTTAAACAGAACTAAATTAAGAGTAAGTGTGTGAGAGCGTAACTGAGAGATCATCATCAAAAATGAGTGACGGAAAGAGACTCAAGGAGAAAACGTGTTTAACCATCACCGCTATCGTACTATTTTGTGCATTAGTGATTTATATCCTACACGTACGGACAACTCAATATAATCTTCTTGCAATTTGTGATATTTTCGTGAGAAAGCGCTAGAAACATTATAGAGGCCCATATGTGTGACAAACACCAATACAGGCTCCTTGAAAATTTTAAAGGTCCATATTTCAGCGGCCTATAATCAGGAACCCAATGAAAAAAACATTTTTCGTCATTTGAGGCTTGTAACATTTTCTGTTCCTATAAATGCATTTTTTGTTGTTGAGCATAATTTAAATTTGAAGGGAATGAAACGTCGAAGAAATTTCAGGGACCGAAAATAACAGTTATTTTTTAAAATGCGAACAAAAAAATCTTCATGTTGGAGACATGGGACACCAATAGTGTCATATACCAATAGATTCGTATTGAGGAGCCCATTAAGGATATTGAGTGATCTTGAGAAAACGCTCTCAGTTCCCATGTTAAGGATTATTTTTTAACGGAAAAAATAAACGTTGATTTTTAACTGTTAAAAATGATTTTTATTTTTTCCGTCAAAAATAAAAGTCTTTTTGGGACTTTTATTTTTTCCGTCAAAAATAAAAGTCTTTTTGGGACTTTTTTTTCCGTCAAAAATAAAAGTCTTTTTGGGATTTTTATTTTTTCCGTCAGAAAATAAAAGTCTTTTTGGATTATTATTTTTTCCGTCAGGAAATAAAACTCTTTTTATGTAAAGAAGTTTAACAACTTGTAATCAGTTATTAAATTACAATTTATAAATCTCTGTCCTTATTACAATAAGTGTACACATAAGTAATCAAGATCAAAGTAAAAAATATTTGTTATAAATTTTTAAAAAATAGTCTAGTGTATGAATATAAATTAATATAAATTAAAGAATCATTCCCCTGACTAGTAGGTCAAAGGTTATATAACTGGTACCAAACTCTATATGTTTATTTACGTAAAAAGACTTTTATTTTCTGACGGAAAAAATAAAAATCACAAAAAGACTTTTATTTTTGACGGAAAAAATAAAAGTCCCAAAAAGGCTTTTATTTTTGACGGAAAAAATAAAAGTCCCAAAAAGACTTTTATTTTTGACGGAAAAAATAATAATCCAAAAAAGACTTTTATTTTTGACGGAAAAAATAAAAATCCCAAAAAGACTTTTATTTTTGACGGAAAAAATAAAAATCATTTTTAACAGTTAAAAATCAACGTTTATTTTTTCCGTTAAAAAATAAATAATTAAAGTGGATTTTTTTTATTTAGGTCACAAATAACAGTTTTTTTTACCTGATTTGATATAAGTTATAACCGTTACGGTCCCTGAGAAATTTCTTTTGACAATTTATTTCACAAACAATAAAGAAAAAACTTCAAAACCATATGATTGCCACTTACACCTTATTAAATACGCATTGATAAAGACTCTGTAATATCATTAATCTATCTTGTACGAACTTATTCAAATCAGTTGTTTGTGCCAAGCGAGAGATTCATTCGGAAACAATGCATCACAAATCATATTTAAAATTGGGTTTTAATGGCGTTTCATCTTAATTTTGTGATTTTAAATAAATTATACATATAACATATTAATCCATTTTTTATTTCAAAATATAGTAACTTCGGGTAATGTGGACCATGCGTCTAATGTGGACCACCCCTCATATCTTAAAAATGTTTGAAATATGTCAATGTCGCCTTGATAAATGTTTTCCTAATTAGTGAAAACAAACATCAAACTTGGTTTTCAATAAATAATTGCAATGTTAAAAATGTAGTAGTAGAAAATGTAGCTCTGATTGTAAAAGTGTGGTTTGGACATTTTTTAGCACAACAGTCGAACGTTTTTGCAAAATAGTAGAACACTTAGTTTTTCTAGAATATAAAATGTTATGTGTTTTTTCTTGTTTTCTTTAACAAAAATATACGTTTAGCTGTAATTACAATCGATGATCTTTAATTTTTATTCATTTTTGAAACCGATAATTATTTTTAAATAAAAATATTCAATGTCGGGTAATGTAGACCATTGCCCGAAAATTGGAACCTTTTCATGAGGATGAGTTCGAAACATGGACGCATTTAATATCCGAGGAGGTATTCTATCCTCTGAAAACTCCATATGCGAAATTACAGGTGCTTCGGTTGGATAATGAAGGAAGGACCTTCAAAATACCACTAAAAAAATGAGGGTGGACCACTAAAAAAATGGGACCTTTTCATGGGGACGAAACATGGGCGCATTTAATATCCCAGGAGGTATTCTATCCTCTGAAAACTCGATATGCGAAATTACAGATGCTTCGGTTGGATAATGAAGGAAGGACCTTCAAAATACCTTCCTTTAACATACTGATCCTCATTACCCACACATACTGGTCTACATTATCCGTCAAGTTATTTTTATTAGCAGTTTACAGTTTTTTGAAATATAATGCAATAACATTTTTATTGACAAATATATATAATGTTTGACCTGGAATATCTATAGTCAACAAGACTACTATGTTGTGAAAACAATTTGTTTTTATTTTTTACCGTTGTTACGCCCACAATATCAAAAACAGAAAATGGTGGTCCACATTACACGAAGTTACTCTATCAAAAATGAGTGTAAAGAATTCACTTCAAACGTGTGTAAAGAGTGTAACAGAACAGCTCGACGTGTGTCCGATACACTTCTACCGTTGAAGTCTAGGTAGTGAAGTCTACAAGAATTTGTGTAAAAAAATCTTTAGAATCTGTTTGTGTTGGCAAAATATTTTTGGCATATCAAAATACAACAAATAATGTTTGTTGTAGAAATTCGCCGATGCGGCTACATTATATATCTACCTTAATTGAAGTGATTGATAGAAAAAAATGAAAAAAAAAAAAATATGTAGAAAGTACCTGGGGTAGATTCGGCATTTTAAAGAGGGGTACATTCGGCCATATACAGAAAGTGTTATATAATTTCTCTAAATTTATTTTAATTTTAAATTTATTTATCCTTTAATATGATTAATTTAATATTGTTCATTATTACATATATAAGACCAAACGTCTTTCTATTGACGAAAATATAAAATATAGCCTTAAACGTCAAGCATTGGTGGCATATTGAAACAAAATAGAACCTTTAGAGGATCTGAATTCCAACCAGACTGATAGCAACGCCGAAACTACCGGCTATCTGTAAACTGTAAAAATATTTACCTAATACTAATTTATCATATGTTTTTGGTACTAGTTTTTATAATTAAATATCAGAGGACAAAGTATTTATATTTCGACGCCTCCGAAGAATAGTATGCTAAGTCTGAAAAGTAAGTTTTTCAGCAGAAGCTCTCAAAGTATGGAAGTTTCTTAAATCTTACGTACCATGCTAAGTACATTTTTGCTTATATCTTTGGTTTGGATTGGGCGATGATTACCAAAATTTCAGAGAATTTAAATTAAGGACCGTATTATCTAAAAACGTAAAGAACTTTAAAACATGCTAAGTCGACTTAGCATACTATGGTTAGGAGGCGTCGATTTGTTAAATAAGAACTAAAATATATCGCTTTTAAAAAAGTGCCGCATGTCCCCCAGGTTCTCCTAATACCAACCAAGGTATATTACACCAAAACAGCATTAATTCGCCGGAGGTAGATACAAAAATAAAAAAAATATAATTTTGAGGAAACCCCAAATCTGTATGAATATAGAATGTTTCAGTGGTGACCATATAACGACGGTCAAGGTACTGGCAAATTTGGACCTTTTAAGCGATATACATATATAAATAATAAAATAAATTCAATTTTTGTACTTCTACGTGGCATCTATATATATATAAACAAATTTTGTATGTTACCGATGGATGCATAAACCGATGAAAAGATAGATGTTAGAAAGTGTTTTGTTTGAAAATTCAAAAACCGCTGAACATCAAGCTACCCTAGATAAAATCAAACCTACCCTAGATAGCATCAAAAGTAATAACAAATCTGAAATAACATAGATATTCTATGCTAATATCTTACAGATTACCACTTCAAAATACGCATCATCGCTATAAAAATTGGGGTGATACAAGGGGGGAATTTCCTCCCAATTGAAAATAATTTATCTATACATAGAAAAAAGGAAACATTTTTGGATGTAAACACAAAAATCACTGATTGGACTTTGCAGAGATTTTCGGAGTCAGTCATGGAAATAGGATAGGCAAAATAAACTTCCAAAATTTCGCGAGGACGAGTTCTTATAGCTTCAACCGTAATCATACCTCTGAACAAAAATCTATTTTCTATGCATATATCTGAACATCTTGGAACAGAAAAAGAAAAATTGCTTTGTGATTTTCTTCAGATTTTTTTTCTCATTGTTAAAAGAAAAAGTCGATATTAATGCAATAATGTATATTAATTATATATTGAATGTATATGAAAGAAAGAACTGCTAAGCTCGATATTTTATAATTTGGAAACACACTGTTTTGTATATTTGAAAAAATTAAGATTATTGGTTACTGGTAATGTAATTTACATCCCCCAATGACATTCCCATGTTAAATTCAATTTGCATAATTGAAGTAATAAAAATGAATCACATACTATTTATTGATTTCATTCAAGAATAAATACAATATTCAGTCAAATCATATGGTCGATAAATTGCACGAGTAAGAAAAGTACATTTTTGTCAATGAATAATATGCAAAATGTATCCTGTGGAATGGAAGAAATAATATATATCGACTACAGCTCTGAGTTACTGTACGTAAGAGGAAATAAAACAATTTTTTATTTAGAATGTATTACAACTAAACCTTATATATGTACATGCATATAACCCGTGAAATATCGCTACAGACAACTGTTTTTGCATGTTTTTCCAAGCCACTCATCACTGCCATCACAACAGTCACAAATTCCATCGTTTATCCGACTACTAGGAACAAATACATCCCGTCCTCGTCCAGTAATATGCCGTTTCTGGTATTTACAATAGAACTTGCCATTTTTGCAGGCGTTAGTGCTGGGTTCGTCACTGCCGTCCGACACACAATCGCAATAGTCATCATTCACACGTTCGAATGGTATTTCTATACTGCCATCCAGGCAGCGAAATTTGCCCTCAAAATTCGGTTTGTACGAATCGTAATCGAACAGTCTTATACCTCTGCAAAAGTATTGGATTGTTATATATAATTTGCTCTTCATTTCTTGTCCCTTTAATGCTAACCTTATAATTTTAATGCCTACATCTTGAAAAGTATTTGAGTCCACCTCACCTTCCTCAGAAACATCTGTTTGTTTACGTCCCAATGACGCCTGTATTTGTTTATGTCTCTTTCGTAAATCTCTCATTGTGCCCTCCAGAGCATTGGGAAGATGGTTTATGGAAACGGCTTGATAGACGAAGAAAACAATGCCCAGGAAAAATATTCCTAGTAGAAACATCTTGGACTTTTGTTTGTAAAATGGGACATAATATATGTGTTCCCGTTTAACCCATGTTTTTTTCATTATGCTGCGCGTACTCACTATTCGTCAACTTTTTTTGTTTTGTTTATCAACAATTGTTAGTCGGTCCCATTATGACAGATAAACATGGTTGCCATATTTTTAATGATAACCAAAATAAACAAATTTGAGTCGCCCAGTTCACAAATCCAAAAACTGCACCATGGTAGAATTAAAAAAGGTAACTGCAATACTCAGCTGATTTGATTCCAACGTAATACTCGTGTCAATTTGAATATGAGAAATTACATTTTGTAAAGTGACCCAGCTGGAAAATTGTGTACAAATTTCGAAATTATTCTTTATTAAATGTAATTTCTTATTAAATTTCCCTAGTGGGAAGATTTGAAGCACTAAATCAGTTTTCATAAAATAATTCCCTATTTCTATCATTTTAATTGACAATTAAAACCCCACTGGTTTAACTAATTCCGGTACAATGTAAATGTACTGTTATTGATAACTTACTAAAAAAAATAATAACAATGAAAAAATACACATCTACGTTGTTGAATTATTCACAAATCATAAATGTCTTCTTGCCAATGTCACACATTTTGTATTCATCTTTGGCATAACAACCCACAATGTAAAAAAAAAATAATTTATGAGTAGCTATGACCTATCTTGAGTAATTGTACCATGGTTCTACAGTTCCTTTGTATTATAGTAGTAATAAAAAATACCTTCCTGAAGAATTTCGTAAAAGTCAACATCATATAAAGTGTGTATCATGATACAACAAATAAGGTAACCTCATGCTCACACATGACCAATTTTTTTATTATTTTGACAACCCATCATTGTCAAAATAGTTTTGACATGCCTTATAAATATGTATGTATATGTGACAAATACATACATACAGTTGTTAGTTACAAAACAGAAAAAAAAAACATTTGTTTACAAATTTAAAACAATGCTTTCAAAACAAATTTATTTAAAAAATGTTTTCCGAATATCTGTAAAAGCTGAAGAATGCAATTTTGCAAGGATAATAATTTTAAATATTTCCAGAAAGAAAGGTATTTTTCATGCAATGCCATCTTCGTCAAATGCGGTTAAACAACATAATTTTCAAAATGCTGAACATGTTCCACAAAATATGCATATGGAAGTGAAATAAAATTAGCTTCGTTGTTTAAAGGCTGATTTTTCTAGAAGTGCTCAATGTTTTTTTTTATTAAAGGAGAGATATTCTTTTATAAGAGTGTTAGTGTTCTATCTGGAGGTATTCTTATAGAGTTCGGGTCTTATTAGAGATCTGGAGGTATTCTTATGGAAGAGCCGGATGTCTTCTCATAGAAGAGCTAGAGGCCTTCTCATATATGTACGAGCTGGTGGTATTTTTATAAAAGAGATAGATATTTTTAAACTAGATCTTCCTATAGAAGAGTTTGAACGGGATAAAGATGTGGATATATTCTTAAAAAAGGAATAGCTGAAGGCTTTCTTAATTTAAAAATGTTTATATTTGTTTTCTTCTCTGTTCTCATCGCCCCCTTTTCGCTGTTCGTTAAAATATTTGATTTGCTTCATTGCATATTGAAAAACAAAACGTAAATAAACAAAACAATTTTTGTTTTAATGACATTCAAAAACAGCAAAAACATTCATGTTGTATTTGACGTGCTAAGGTACAAAAACGCACTGTTGTATTCAAATTTTCGAAACGAGACTACCTTTATATGGGAACACAGCTATTATCAATATCACGTACCATTCAAATGCAACACTGGCATGTACGAAAAAATACATCGTTCATTAGACAGTACCAAAAATTACAATTGTTAAAAGTCAGAAATAATTAAATTGTGGAAAGTTTTTTCTTCTGAAGGCAAATATTGTAAGCCTTCAAATATATCATACCAAATCACAATAAGGATTCAAATGCGCATCAAGTCAAACATTCTCCCTTCACAACAAATTGCACACTATGTACGGCTGGTATAGAGAGTACCTTTACTGATTATATTTACATTTGTGAATTTAAATTGCATATTGTAAATCTTTTAAAATTGTATTGCATACCTACATACGTTTGTTGTTAATAATAAAACTAAGAAGCCTGTGTATTGGATTTTCATTTCGACTTCTTTGTCATTATAAGTTTTGTGTACACCATCAGCTGCTCCAGTTGCGCGTCGTGTAGCAAATAAAGTCGCGCCGAAATTTTGCACCGTATTTTGTTTTGGGGAAATAATTGAGATTTGTTCTTTTTTATTTTCAGATACTTGCATACAATTAGCAACATGGATTTTGCCAGTGTACTGCAGAAAAACGAGCCACACCAGCGTACGATAATTCATATAGACATGGATTATTTTTACGCGCAAGTGGAAGAGATTAGGGATCCTTCGCTAAAATCCCGACCTTTAGGAGTGCAGCAGAAGAATATTGTCGTAACATGTAACTATAACGCTCGAGCGAAAGGCGTCAAAAAGCTGATGTTGGTTTCGGAGGCTAAGAAACTGTGCCCGGATTTGGTGTTAGTGGTTGGCGAAGATTTAACTCCTTATAGGCAAATGTCGCAGAAAATATTCGAAATTCTACTCAATTATACACCATTAGTTGAAAAGTTAGGTTTCGATGAGAATTTCATGGATGTTTCAATGCTGGTGGAAAGGAGAGAACAAGAAAAAAATCAACAGGAGAACGATGATATCGACGAACCCACCGTTGCTGGTCATATATATCCTTCCGACGGTACTACTTTGAATGCCTGTCGCTGTGGCTGTGCCTATCGCTTAGCTTTGGGAACACAAATTGCCCAGGAAATAAGGGAAGAGTTAAACATTAAGCTTGGTGTAACTTGTTGTGCAGGTATTTCGTATAACAAACTATTGGCGAAGCTTGTAGGTTCCCAGTATAAACCAAACCAACAAACTGTTTTGGTTTCCTCTCATGCTGAGCAATTTATGCGAGAATTATGTGATTTGAATCGGATCACAGGCATTGGCCAGAAAACTGAATCTCTTTTGCTTGAAAGCGGTGTCAAAAATGTTGAAGAACTGCAGAGGTGCGATATTGATTTTCTTAAGAAGAAATTCGGCTTTGAAACTGCCACAAAGCTAAAGGATCTTGCCTTTGGGCGTGATAATTGTGCTGTTCGTCCGACTGGAAAACCTAAAACTATTGGTTTGGAAGACTCATGCAAACCGATATCGGTAAGGACTGATGTCGAGGAGCGATTTCGTCTACTGCTGCTGAGACTCATGGAACAGGTAAATTGAGACATGGCGTTTTCGAATAGTGTTAACTTAATTTTTTATATACCTCTATTTTCTAGGTTGCTGAAGATGGACGTATACCAATATGTATAAAAGTAGTATTGCGGAAATTTGACTCACAAAAAAAGAGCAGCCACCGTGAAACCAAACAAGCCAATATACTACCGTCGCTGTTCAAATCATATTCATGCGCCGACAGCGGTGGCCCTAAAGTGGTGCTTGCAGATGGAGCTCAAGAAAAACTTCTCAAAATTATTATGCGATTATTTGAAAGGGTTGTGGATCTAAACAAACCATTTAACATTACGCTGATTGGATTGGCATTCTCGAAGTTCCAACAACGTAAGGTAGGATCGTCATCGATTGCCAACTTCCTTATTAAAAAAACCGATTTGGAAGTTCAATCAATTACATCGTTAACTAATGATGTCGACACCACTGGTGTTAATGCAGACGGTGCGTGTGGTTCCATTCCGAACCAGTCTAACAATGACAATGAAGCATTTCGTTCATCGCCTACAACCTTTCAGCCAAGTGATCAATTTTACCGCCGGCGCACGACGGCGGCATCTCCTATTCCTATGCTTGTGGATAATGGTTCGGAATCTGGAGCAACAAATTCAGACTTTTCAGATTTTTCAGAAACTGAGGTTGAACCTTCTCCGAAAAAGAGTAGAATAAGTCGATTACTGCTTAATAAACGTCGTTGCTTCGGGAGCACTACTGTTTATAATTCCACATGCGAGTCCGCCGCGGATGTTGCCTCACCGAGTAAATTGCGAGTTTGTGATTTGCGACTGAATTCTAGAGACAGCGACAGAGATTTTTCAATGACATGTCCATCGCTCTCACCGTCCTTATCAAGTGCCTCTAACAATAACATACCGACATCGCCATTATCGTTTTCAACAACTGCCACAACCCAGACCATGTCAGTTCAATGTTCGAACTTATCTGATAGTTTAGAAGATTTTCGCACAAACGCTTTACTTTTTTCACAACAACATACAGCTGTTTCTCCGCCAAGCACAAATAATATTCCCATGGATTCTGGGACTGAGGCCGATCAACGCGAAACTACCGACATTGCTAAACTTACTTCTGCCCATAATACTGCACCAAACATTACCGGCAGTCTTGCCAACATTCCGTGCCCAGCTGGCGTTGACCCACAGGTTTTTAATGAGTTACCAGTCGATGTTCAAAACGAATTAATAGCTTCGTGGCGAAGCTCTCTGGCAGCTGCTGCTGCAGCCGTCGCAAATGGAACTTTATCTTCTCTCAGTCCTAATGGAGCAACTAATGCATCACAGAAACCTAGTGTAGTAAGCAGTTCCGCTAAAGCTGGCGGTGGTGGAGTTAATTCGACAACCACTCAAAAGAATACTCTATATCGCTATTTTTTGAGAAATAAGTGAATTTATTTTACCTTTGAATTATTTCTGAACATTGTAGTTCCCTCATCGAATAAAAGAATAAGAGTTAAAATAAAATGATTTTGTACGTATCAGATATATGAAAGAAAAACCTTTTTATTCGAAATGTACTTCTTATAAAACGTGTATATTATAAATAAATCCAGTTAAGAGGTTTATACTCAATAAATATAGATTACATTATTATTTGCTAACCACTAAAACGTAAATTGTTTAATGTGACTCTACATTTGGCAAATAAGGTAAGCGATAATTCCGCGATCAGCTAATCGATAAAATCGAATAAATTACTTAAGATATTCTAAATTTTTAATCGTGAAAAAATGTGTACCGTCTTATTTATACGACATATTATGCGCAGTATTTTCGTTATAATTAAAAGAAACCTAATTTAGGTTTGAAAATGTGGCAACATGTACGGTATGTGAAGCAATTGTTTATGCAATTTGGTGCCACAACTACGACAAGATAACGAATAAATTTATTCGTATTTATCCGATGGTAAAAACCGGGTTGAATTATGTCAAAGACATAACAAATAATGAGAAGAAATCTTCGTGATTAGATCACAACATAATTATGTGTCTATTACATTTCATTTCGATATTTCCTCATCTAAAATCTAAAGTGGACAATTTTTATTTTTTTTTTTTCTCTACAACCTTTATTAGTATCAACATTGTTTTTGGAGACATATCCTATCCCCATTCTTTACATAATCAGCCTTATTGTGGACATCAATTCACCGTGAATCGTTCTTCCAGAATTCGCCGCGAATATTTTTTTCGCCTTTTCACTTTCCCTTTATTCGAAATCAAGGTCGAAAGTGAAAAAAAATCCGCTTTGGGGAAAAATTTGTTATTCTTGATTACAGGGAGTGGGAGAATGTGATGACATTGTGTGCGAAATTTTTCGCAAATAATTTTAAAGGGAGCTATCTAAAACAATATAAGTATTAAATATTTTTTATCAAAATTATATACAAAATCACCATTATTACAATAGGCGAAGTCGTTGTACGGCAGCTTTCCTAGGCGTATTCGAATGTGTTGTCGTAGTTGTTTTTGGTCGGTATCAAGGTAGATATACAAGGTAGCCGCATCGGCGAATTTCTACAACAAACATCGGTTGATGTATTTTGATATGTCAAAAATATTTTGCAAAAAAAAAAAAAAGATTGACAAGATTTTTTTACACAAATTCTTGTAGAAAATGTTAATAAAAGTAATGCCAAAAAAGCTATTCGAAATTCGGAGATTTTCATTTATAATTTTGTTTTTTTAATTTTTTGGTTCAACATTACAACAACATTTTTGACATTTATTTGTCCAACAGCTGGGCCGATGCGGCTACCTTATTAAATATACCTTGATCGGTATTATGTATTTACGACAACGCTAAATATTGTAATAGATTCTTTTACTCTGTTACAAAACCAAAGCAAAAATTTCGCTTTTATAGTACGTTTACATTTAACCGGATTTCGTTAACCCAGTGGGTTTCAATTGTCAATTCCTTTGCATATATGTCAAATAAATCCTCATAAAGTAGGTTAACCCGGTGAAAAAGTTCTAGTGTACATGCCGTTTAGAACCCTTTAAATATTGCTTGGGAAAAATGTCCAGCCTTATTCTGGATGTCAATTCCACGTGAATTTAATCGTTCTTCCCCATTGACTTTTTTTTGATTTCGCAGATTTCTTCCCAACGGTCTTTGACATCGTTCAATGCGGTTTTTGCCATCATAAAAAATGTTCTTTTATTTGTAATCTGTTGTATATACAGTATTTTTCGGTTAACTGCACAACGAAATTTGCACAGATTTTTGTTCAATTAACCGAGGAACCAATTATCCGAACCCGCTTAATTGAATAGGTTGTTCAATTACAGTAATCACGTATAATTGGAACTACTAATGATTTAAAAAAATCCAATGTCAAATACAAATTACGCTTTCTCGCAGTTTTTCCTTAGCAATAAACATATGTTTTGAAATAGTAGAGATGCCACCTAGTCTTTTTCACAAATTATGTCCAATTAAGCGGGAAAACCAATTAACAGGGTTTAATTATCCGAGAAAATTTGCATGTATTTTCCTATGAAATATTTTTTGCCCCATCATGTGGTTCAATTAAGCGTGGAAACCAATTAACCGTAGGGCCAATTAACCGAAAAATACTGTATATATATTTTTATGTACTTCAAGTAGGTTGGTGAAACGATCAGCGTTACGTACCACAACTGGGTAATCTGTTGTATTTCTTGCATCAAATTTCATCAAAACAATAAACAGCTGTTTCACATGCCAGATCCTTCATATTTCACATTTATATTGTTATAAAGTTTAAATACAATAAAAAGGAACATTTTTTTAATCAATAAATATTACATTACAACTTAAATTACAATATGGCAACACGAATCTTTTTTCAACCACCATTTCCGCATCTCGCATTTTTTGTTTCTCCTTATTTATTCAGAATAAGGCGAGAATGTGAAAGGGAAACATTTTTTACATGCGAAAAATTTCCCTAGCGAATATCCAGAATAAGGCTGATAACCATTTATAACATTCTAAATAGTCGTAGAATAACTATTGGGGAGGTATTTTTCATAAATATAGTAAATACTTCTATTTTTATAGTCATCTCCCTTCTAATGTATTAGCGGATTTTTGCACTTTCCGAACTTCATTCAAAATAAGGGAAATGCGAAAAAATGTTTAAATGTAATTGATTTCAACACATAGAAAGATAATTATTTGACTAATAATTATTATTTTTTATTATCAGAGTATTTACATGTGGGGTACATATACTATTATTATAATTATTGTTATCATAAAAGTTTCTCAACAATAAAAATTACCAGATTAATGACTATGCTTCAGTACATAACTTGATACAAGTGATGAATTTTTATAACGTAGTACGCCGAACGTATAATACAATTTTGTTGTTCTTACTTTTAATTTAAATGGAAAATATACAGCCAATATTCTCGTACACTGATATATGTGTGATTATAAGAATACGTGTATATTTAATATATATATGATCGTGTGTTAATCTAATTTAATAAATATAATAGAAGAATAAAAATGTGTTTAACTATGTCTTTGTTTTCATATACCTCAACAATGGGGAAATACAAGAAATGAGATGATGCACACATTTCGGTATTAGACACATTAAAAAGTTTCAATGGCTCAACCAACCAACTTTTATAAAATATTTTCTAATTGAACTTTCAACTGGAGAAAGATTGGATGAAGTGACTGGAGCACCGCTTAGAAGAAGAGTTTTTAGGGAAAGATACGATGTAGGTGGCAAATTAAATAAATTGCATATTTGTTGTTCGTTACTCGACAATAGGTGCGTCCCCAGCGGTTGTGGTAGTTGTTTCAGTTCTTCCAATTGAGCTCTTAAAATACTACTCATCGGCATAGCTGAGGTAGGAGTTAATTGATGACCTTTTGGGGCGTTTGAGGGTGTTGTTGTCATCACACTGCCTTGAATCTCCAATTGTTGAAGTTGTGCTTTTTCGGCGTTCTGACTTTGTATTATGGCGACGTCGTTTACTTGTAGTTGGGGTGGATTTTTCACTGACACTGTGAGCAACTGCTGCAGGTGAGGCGGATTCGTATTCAGCTGAGATTTCATTAACGGTGTTAATGACGTTGGTGTTGACATTGAATTCATTCCTGCACCCGGCGTCATCGATGTCGTCGTATGTGCCGGTGATACCCGATAGCTATCCAAGTAGTTTTTGTTGTGCGATGATACGGCGTAAGAGATCTGGTCTCCTGTGTGGGGCATGTTGCTTTGCACGATGGAATTTGGACTTTCGTTTGCGTTTGGCAGTTCGCTATTAATACACATGTAAGAAATGTCACAACTAATACAGAGGAAAATAAAAATTCGATGGTAAATACTTACAGTTTTCGGTTGTTGTGTTGTGGGGAGTGCAAGGAATAGCCTGGCTGCCGCGGATTTCCAGTGTTGAGATTGTCCTGTAGTAAAACATTGTCTTATACATCCATTTAAACGTTCGCCATTTGGAGTGCTGATAATACACGGAAGCTGAATATCGCAAAGAGGTAAATAGAAACATTAGTCTTTTCTTTGTAATACTTTTGAATGATGCTGATAAAGACATACATATTTTTAATTACCATCACACGATATTCAAAAGCCTTCGTGTATTACAGATGTAAACATAAATACATTTGAATGTAAAACTAATACAAACAAACCCAAAACTATTATGTAAAACTAGACTAGTAGACTAAGTTACAATAATCGTTTTATATGTTAAATAGAATTAGCTAAGAACAAAGATATTGGTTTTATTTACTTCTTTACATCAGAAGAGTCATTAAAAATAATCGTGTCGCGTTCATTAAAGGTTTTTTACACATCGGCATTTAGCTTTATAAACAATTATCTATCCATTTTTCTATTTAAACAGGTGATTGAAAACATACACTCTTTAAATTTTAATTGAACAGGATTCAAAAATTGTCTGAGAAATTCACACAGCCAAGGATGTAAGCTATAGCTATCTATTGATATATCAAAAAGCGGAACGTCAGGTTCAGCAATACAAAGACAAAACCTTTTGTCCTGCCTCAAAGGCAAAGATTAGAAATTATGTACATCGTTTTTTTTTTAGGGATTTCTATGGAAAATGCTTGCGAATCGAAAATAAGGGACATTCTGTTAACTTGAATGACAATCCATCTTATTGTATATTGCGTGTTTGTCGTATTAGTCGGAAGTTCAAAAATCCACTATTTTTAATGGCTTACATTTTACTAAAATACTGTGCACATACTGTGCTAGAAATTTTTACATCTAGATTTTGGAATGCTTACTAAGACGATGTATATAACGGGGGTAGAGTACACACTTTCATAATGATCCCAGTCAATTGAATTTATTCCAAATCGTAATGTTATACTAAAAGTAAAAATTCTAAGCATATCGGTAAGTATGAACTTTCTTCATATAGTGAAATACTACGTCATTAGGGAAACAAAGACTAACCTGTGGTAAAACAAATTCAGAAAAATTCTAGCTTAACCCCCATACTCAACAAAAGCACTTACTATCAATGGCTGAACATGTAAATATGTAAACAAATTATTACTAAAGTACTTACAGTCTTTCCGTGACCATACGGTCCGGTTGATCGATTTGCCATGGCGGCATGTTGCTCGAAGTGACGACATTCATCAATCTTAGTCAAACCATTGTAGCGATACCGACACAGTTCCGATAATCGAATGCGTAGCTCTTTTTCACGTTCCAATGAATTTAACAAGCGTTCATATTCATCGGAGGTGTAAAATTGTGCATAGACCCGGAAACGATCTCTAAACTCCTTCTGCTCTTTTGTTAACCCTGGATGCTGAGCATAGTTGCGATTACGAAAGAAATTTGCTACAAGTTGATAGTCGCGAACCAAGCGCTTGCGACGAACACGTTCTCTAAGTCGTCTTGTATACAGATCGACGTGTGACAGTTTAAGTAAATAATCCGCTTCTGTGTCATCGGCATTCAATGACATCTTCGAAATTAATTGTTCTGCCGTAAAATCATATTCCCGTTCAAAACTGTCACGATTTGGCATGTATCCTAACTGAGCTGCTTCTTCCTGTGTAATGTCCAATGGCGGTAATCGTTGCAGAGCTAATGCGCCTAATGGTCCATTATCGTCACTAGTGTGGTCGATTAATGTTGGACGTTGAGCCTGCGCTGGAGTCCAAGTATGGCGTCCAATTGTACCATTTACAAATTTATTGACGTATTCTTCTTTGGCGTCCTCAGCTGATTTGGTCTCAATGTGCCTACTGATGTCTTCCCAATTGCCAAAACCGTACTGCTCAATAGCATCAAGTAAGCGTATTTCTTCCCTTGCAGTCCAGGCACCTTTACCCCGGAACACCGATAAAATCGCCGTCCCCGTATCCATGAACTGATATGCATGACTGTTTAAATGAGAGCCAATCTCTGCTCCCGCTGCAAAACACTAATAAAGGTAAACACTTAAAAAGCTTCATATATATCGTGAACATTTAAGAGAACCCTGCGAAGTTCTCTTAAAAATATGACGCGTCATAGTCGTCGCTCATTTATTTGTACCCCAATAAAAAAGCATACATAAAAATGAAATGACAGTAGCCTTACCTGCAGGCATAAATCAAAGTTTTCGCATTCAGCACAATGCACACGTATTCCCTGAATATCATCTTGGCAATTTGTACAATTATATTTGGTGAATAAATCTGCAATGGTAGTCATTTTGCAATGTTAAAATGTCACTAATTTTGTAAAACTTTGAGTTAATTTTGCTGAATTCTTGAAAAGAGATTCTTACGCACCCGCCATATTGGTTAGTGATGAAAATGAACAAAGTAATCGATTACCAAATACTAACAGCAAGTAAAAACCTATGCACAGTGGTTGTGCCCAATTATAAATATAAAAAACGATGAAACAAATACTCAATAAAGTTAACCATTTAACTTTCTGTTTATCTGAATATGCATTAAATAAATGATATGTTTTTTATAAAATCTATTATATAGGTGGTCATAAAATTAGAACATTACTTTTTTGGTTTTTTGTATGAAAATAATGTCAAATTACATGAAGGGCTAAGCAGAATGCTCGCGTTGAGCCATCCGTCGCGTTATATGTTATCGAAAATACAACAACCACAAGGAAACGATATGCGTTTGTGTTATCGTTTCCTTGTGGTTGTTGTATTCTGCATATTGTTGCATTCTTAGCCCTTATAGCCTAGACAGACGACAGCCTTAATTTGAATTAACAGCCTTAGGTTAGGTTAGGGATGTACGGCTGTTATAACAACCGTCCACTCGGAAACTATGTCCATTGTGACCATCCTTTATGTATATGTGTACCTATAAAGAGAAAGAAGAAAAGATAGAGAGAGGTAGTCAGAATGGGTGGGAGCGGAAGACACATTATTTTAGCCAAGTCAATTTTTTGACAAAGCCTAGAATTAGGTTAGGGTCTATTTTGGAGAAGAAGACTAGATTTTCAATTTCATAACATCCAAACTGTTTATGTCTTCTGCTGATTAGCGATGGACATTTGCAAGGATGTGCTCAATTGTTTCCACTTCTTCTTCATCCTCACATAGACGACAGTAATCCTCTCCACTGGAGTCCCACTTAGAAGTGAGAGATCTAACTTTGCAGTGACCAGTAATGATCCCCACAACGATCTTGATCTCCCTCTTGTTGTGATCCAGCAGCGAAGACGTTCTTTTGCGAGAGAATTCTGGCCAGATAGATTTAGAGATTCTGCATGCAGGTTCCCTTAGCCATCTGTTGCCGACTACCTCGCAATGGAACGCGCGGATTCTGCCAATGAAATAGCTAATAGGGGGTTTCACAGATCTCTCAATCAGAAGACTGGACGACTGTGACCCCCTCGAGCAAGCTCGTCGGCTATCTCATTCCCTTCAATATCGTTATGTCCTGGAACCCAGCATAACCCAACTATTTGACGTATATCATTCAGAGCGGTTTTACAATCATGAACTGCTTTCGAGTTTATAGTATGCGACTTCACCGCTTTCAGGGCCGCCTGACTATCTACGTAAATAGTCACCGGTCCTGTAATGTCTGTATTAAGTGCTTTTACTATCTCGGCCGCTTTCGTGATTGCAAGAATCTCTGCTTGAAAAACGCTACAATCATTGTTGAGTTTATATGAGTTTCGTATACCTAATTCCCTGCAGTAGACGCCTGCGCCAGTGCCTTCCTCCATCTTGGACCCGTCTGTGAAGATTGACAGACCTGGCAGAGGTAGGGAGCCACTAGTCCAGGATTCCCTGCTAGGAAATTCGACTTTAATGTCATTAAAATCCCTATGGGGGGGAATATAGTCACTGATATGACTATCCCCCCTAAAAGGTCATATCTTGGCGTTATGTTTAGAATGCTGGCATGACCATAGTTCAGCGATTTCAAGGCATCTTTTTCCCGGAGTCTCAGGGCACACCTAGCAGCCTGGAATTTGATCAGAATGTCCAATGGTTGGAGATTCAAGATTGCATTCAAGGCTGCTTGTGGTGTGCTTCTTAATGCTCCGGTGATCAGAATTGAAGCCGATCGCTGTACTAAACTCAGTTTTGTCAGCAGCTTCTTTTTATTCACCCCCTGCCACCAGACAAGACTTCCATAAGTAAGTATGGGTAAGACAATCGTCGTATACAACCAGTGTATAATTCCGGGTCTCAATCCCCAACTCTTGCCTATGGAGTTCTTGCATGAATAGAGTGCCATCAATCCCTTCTTAGAGCGTTCCTCGACATTCCTATTCCACAGTAACTTGCGGTCTAGGACAGTGCCAAGATATTTAGCTTCATCAGAAAGGGTTAATGTCACTCCACCAAGTGATGGCAGACGGAAACGAGGACTTTTGTATTTCCTAGTGAAGAGTACCAGTTCGATTAACAGCCTTAATTCAAATTAACTTGAACATTATCCTCAATTTTATGTGTTGTAAATGCACAAAATGAAACTGAGTTTATACTGAATTTTATGAAAATAAAAATTAGAAATAAAGGCAAAATACAACATTCCCTCGAGCTGGGCGCTGTTTTATCATCATTACAGCTGTTATTCGCCCTGTCTGTCGTGTATCGTTTTCATAAAGATGTAATCCTAAAAAATATTGTAAAAAATGTCAATATTTTCTTCCTACACACAGACAAACAATAGTTTTGAAACAAAAAAACTGGCTCATAAATGCAGAAACACTCGTCTGTCAGGGGTAAATATTAATTCAAATTAAGAACTATTTAATGCAAATTAAGGCTGTCGTCTGTCTTTGGTATTAAAGGGCCAAACAGAATGTTCGCGTTGAGCGTTTTTTGTTATCGCGTTAACGCACGCAAAAAGTTAAAATATATTTAACTCCGAAGCGCAGCGCACAACAACATCGAGTGTTTGTGTTATCGTTTCCTTGTGGTTGTTGTATTTTCGATAACACATAACGCCACGGATGGCTCAACGCGCTGAGCGTTTTTTGTTATCGAGTTAACGCACGCAAAAAGTTAAAATATATTTAACTCCGAAGCGCAGCGCACATCTACTTCGAGCGTTTGTGTTATCGTTTCCTTGTGGCTGTTGTATTTTCGATAACACATAACGCAACGGATGTCTCAACGTGAGCATTCTGTTTAGACCTTAAGGGTTAAGCAGGTGGATATATTTATTAAAATTATGAAAACAGAATTTTGTCAAAAGTAAAATTATGATAAAATTGAAATCATATGCCTGCATGAGACTACCTTGTGTAATTATCCCATGAATCATAACATTTATGCTAATTCTATGGTCAGACCCCTTTATCTGTGGCCTTTAGCGACTAGAAAAAATAAAGTTTTTTACATATATATATATATATATATATATATATCGCATATATATATATATTGTATATATATATATATATATATATTATTATTTGGGAACACAATTATAAATAGTCAGAGATCAGAATTAATTACTATTTCGCGATTAAAACGTAGACTGTAAGAGAAAAATAAGGCATTAATTCGCCAGTCGGTTAAAATTATGAATAAACCTTATTATTTGGGAACACAATTATAAAAATAGTCAGAGATCAGAATTACTCAAAAAATTAATACCTATTCGATTTTAGAAAGAAATTATTACTGTTTATATATTTTTGCGTTTTTCTTATATATACACGGAATAGGCATTTTTAGAATTGACAATAACAAAGACATTTGGTCTGTTCCTGTACTGCGAGAATATACTCGATTTTACTATTTTCTTCGATATCATAAAGGAAAATTCGTTATCGTAGTGAAAAGTTGTACATTCTTGCAGTACGGGAGCAAACCAATTATTAACACTCTTTGTAATAACGAAATGTCGTTTAAATCTGCTATTTCTGATTACTCTTTCGTATAAGTTACCATTAAACTGTACATTACAACGTAGACAAAGAAGAAGAAATTCAGATGTATATGTAAAAATATGTGTGTGTTTGTGGAACAGTTTATCGATTTTTAATAACAAATATAAAATAATAATTTTAACTCGGAATATTTTTAATCGGAATTTAGGAATAATCCGACATATTCTTTTGTTCAAAAATTGAATATTACTAACTCTTTCAAAAAACTATTATAAATTATGAAATCTTCCAAGCAACGAATGACAAGTCTCGCAGAAGATATCGGACTGCCATACCGAGCAAGACTTCACAATCTATTTCTTCAAATCGAGAAAGAGTTTGAACTTCTGTATTTGGAAAATCTAAGCTGTAAGAAGAGTAATTTTTAAGTATTAAATGTACAACAAATATTCTTTGATTCTTAGTGCAAGAAAAACTAGATGGATACACCAACAAAGATTCACTGCAATCTTGTGAGAGATCCACTTCAACAAATCCGAGTGGAACCAATCCGTCCTCAACTATTCCACAAGCTGCCGCAGTTGCTGGCCATGAAGAAGTCGATACGACGGGTGGCGGTCCTGTTGTATCAGGCAGTAAAAGCTTCAAGTCAAAATTTACATCGAGTGGTGGAAAAGTTAAGGCCAGTCATAAGATTAAGGCTCAGACCAGTCGTATTGTATCTAGCTTTAAAGCGCAGTCGGTAGTAAGTAGTACAGTCATGAGGGAATTCTGTGGACATAAAGATGGTGTATGGCAAGTAGCAGCCAAGGTGGGTCAGCCAATTATTGGGACAGCTTCGGCAGATCATACAGCTTGTATATGGGGAATCGAGAGTGGTCGATGTCTTCTACAGTATACGGGTCATGTGGGTTCCGTTAATTCAGTAAAATTTCATCATAATCGGGACTTGGTCCTAACTGGTAGTGGAGACGGCACGGCCCATATTTGGCAAGCTGCAGTTAATTGGGATGTTTCAAAGTAAGTAACAGATATCTATTAAGCATTCCACGCTAATCAATTTTATGCAACATTCCATGATGTTGTGATAATATATTTTTAAGAAAGGGGCACTCGTCCGAGGAAGAACTCGACGACAGCGATGAACAAGTTGAAGATCGCGATCGTGTTGACACCTTACGAACACCACTTTGTGAATTTCAAGGTCCAGGAGGTCATTTGTCGGTAGTGGTCGCTGCAGATTGGCTAACCAATATGGATCAAATAATTACAGGAAGCTGGGATCGCACCGCTATTCTATGGGATGTGGAGACTAGAGAACCAATACAACCCCTGATGGGCCATGATCACGAGTTAACACACGTGTCGGCTCATCCAACACAAAGACTAGTTGTGACTGCGTCTCGAGACTCCACATTCAGACTATGGGATTTCAGAGATCCGATTCCAGGTGTTTCAGTATTTCAAG